AAATGGTACCGGAGATTGTTGTTGTTAGCATCTGGTGCTAGCTAGCTACGCTAACGGATATAAGGAACTTTTTCAACAACAAGGTGGAGGAGAGTCCTCTCCTGTCAGACTGAGAGAGTCCTTTACCTCAGCTCAGTGAGGTAAAGGACTCTCTCAGTGTTTAGATTACCCACTGAGATTAGTTATCTCAGTGGGTCTGAATCGGTTTGGTCACCATTAATGTAAACAATTATTTCCGAGGCACACGTTTATATGATCATTATAGGTATAAAAAAACAAGAAAATATAGGATAAACAGTATTGAAATACTATGACAGTAAAACAAGAATACAGTTTAAAAGTGGAGTGATTTGTCGGAACCCCTGCCCTAGAGGATGTGAGGTCCACTCACCACCTATAAAAATAGCACTTGACCCCTGCTTACACCTATATGCCGTGAGCTGATTATCGAGCCTTCATTGTAACAGTCGCGGGTACACTGTGTATTTGCGTGGGGATTGTTGCAGTAGAGAATTCCTCTGTAGCGACCGGTACATTAATGGGAAACCCTAAATGATTGAGCACCCTCTATGAAAAGTCAAGCTACCCCACAGCACCCCCAAAATAAATCTCTGGGGCCGCCACTGAGCCAGCAACCCCGTTTTGAAGAAATGTGCAGTGCAAAGCAGGCTCATTGCAGACACTAATGCTGTGATGATAAGACACACTTTGCCAAATATCAGCATTTTCTTTCTTTTCATGTCTTTGCACAGATTGCAAAGTGGCAAAGTATTATAACTTATTGTTCTAGCAAAGGGATTGCACAATTGTATTATGTATTTATTGTTTTGAGCACACAGACTTATGGAGCATTGTTTTATTATCACTGTTCTAGCAAAGGAATGCTCACGTTCATATTGATGTATTTTAATAAATGTTAACTTGGCCCATTACGTGACTATTCGTGTTGGGGGGGCCCGACTTTTTTTTGTTCTCCAAAGAGGGGACTGACGGAAAAAGTTTCTGAACCACTGGTGTAGGGAGTGACAGTCAACATGAGACAGAATGGCAAGTGACAGCCTCTGCAGGACTGAGTGAGCACTCATTCTGTGTCCCTCCATATTTGCCTGTTTGTTTCTTACTCTCCTTACGTACACATTCATCTCCACTCCACAGCATGCTCAAATGCTGCACTTACACTGTTTCATTTCCAACCATTACAACACATTGAGCAATAGATACATGCAGAACTCCTTACGCCTCTGCATGGATGTGTGCAAACTGATGCTGCATTTGGAATTTAGAGTGCAGTGCCTGTCAGAATCATAGGTCAGAATACACTTCGGAAGAAAGTTGAGGTTTAGAGTAACAGACACACATAGAGAACTGTAAAATGCAGTTTTCATTTAAAGGGCGATGCAGCTTTCTGTCCGGGGCACCAGGCACCTTTTACTGTAAAGGTATAGATACATTTGCAACATGTTTAACACAAATAAACACATTCATCTTTATTCTATAACCAGACACGTAATGGCCCTGACTTTAAATCCCTGCTCCAAAAACACTTGATGCTTCATTTCCCATCATGCAAGTTGATAGAATATTTCTTGTTGTTCAACATGCTTTGTAAATGCCTATATCTTTCAAACTCCAAACTTCCAATGTTCTGTTTAAAATCTGTAGATTTAAAATGTTTGACTACATAGGATTTACACAAATACACACATAAACATCCCACCCATAGACAAACTAACTGAGGACCTTACTCTAAAGGAGCGGGTATTAGTCCAATTAAAACAGGTAAGTAGTCCAAGTAAGTCAAATAAGGTCTTCAGAAATGTGTTGGATGCAGTTATGAATTTTAAATATATATATATTGATATACAGTATAGCAGATGGGAATTTAACTTCCACATCTTATTAATGTACACGAAAGGTACATTTATATTTTCTTAAGACACATACACAGAAGAAATGAAACCACATTTTAAGCTAGGAGTCAATTGAGTCTGTATATGCCGACTTCATTTGATTTGCTTTCATTCATTTGATACCATCCCAAGCTTTTTAAGACATTACTTTCGGCTTCTAATAACATATATAATCAAATGACATATTTGTTCAAACTTTGGATATAATGCAAAAGAAAAAAGTAGTGTAAGTTGCAGCCCAAATTCAGAATTAGATGCAAACTCTTAATCTGGTTCATTTTGTTGCAGTGTGTTCCTCCTTTAAAGGATTTGAAACTTTCTCTCAAAAATAATACATTCCTGATTATGTATCCCACTATTAATCATATATCTCTTTTCTTTCTATTTCTAGATGACTTATTACCTTTAGAAGTGTAACGCCTTACCCATCTCACTTCTTCTCTCTTGCTCAGTGGCCCCTGACAGCCACATTCAGTTTCTCCTCCTCCTGTGCTTTGTACTGTCGTTCATCATTAGTGTCATTCACTTCCTCCTTCCACATGGCACAACATCTGTTTGGGAGTGTTGAACTTGCCTTGTTAAAAAGTGTTCCGATAAACCCTGCGATGAGAAGCCTGGAAGCAGTTTCACCTCTTTAGTCTGGTGTCAATTTACATGCATGATAACATGTTGGAATGATCCTTTAATCATTTGTTTTAAAAACCTTTCTAACAGACCTGCCGTTGCAAGAAAAGCACAGGTGCAAGTAATAACACAAACCATGGAATCACTCAATGTAGGTGTCCCAGTAACCAATCCCAATGAGCCTGCATGCACCACAACAGAGTGTTGTATCCTAATTGTTATGCAGTGCTAATTAGCGTTATTAGGTGCACCTGTGATCTTTGACACGTCTAAATAGCTGCTGTGAAAAAGCTCTGTAGCTCATTAAAGGGTGCAGGTTAAAAGGTTGTAATGTCATGTTAGTAAATAGGAATTCCAGACAGTAAACTAAATATATCTCATTATTAGCAAGACAGTAAACAGACCTAGTGCTAAGTGTGGACTGGTACCTGGGAAAGAGGCTAGTTCCTCTATTGAGCCAATTTGAGTGTCCATTTGAGGGTTACTTTAAACATTTATTCTGCTGGTTACATGGAACACATTGTAATCAGTAACCTTACTATCACAAATAAAAATAAAACATATTTTCAAAGAAAGATTTAAAGTAGCCTAAATGAAAACCAAAATGAAAATGCAGGCAGTACATCCAGCTATAATAAATGTGTTTTTATTTTAAAATGTATTGTAACTCCTGCTTGTTATCCCCATTTTTTTTTTTTTTAATAATCTGATTCAGCATTTATATTCACTCCAAGGGAATACGGTTACCTTTCTTTAGTGTTCTGATTACGTAATACAGTAACTACATATAACAGCATGACGTGATCAGGAAACTCAACTATTTGTTATTTCCCAAGCCTTTCACTGAGATGATATGGACAATCTAAGAGGAGGACCAACCAAGCCAATTATTTCCAGAATTTCTGCGACACTGCTGTCCAATTGTGCCCTCCAAAGATGAATCTTGCTCCTGTTCATTGTACTTATTCAAGAGCAAGTATGTCTTTACCTATGTAGGGGTCCCAGCCCGAGCTGGCAAGGTCCATCAAAGCTGTATGACCTACCCTGCAGCTCTGACGAAATCTGTCATTTAGATTAGCTTGATAGCCCTGTGTCCGCATAGGGTCTCTTTCTGGCATAAAGGCTCTGGAAGGGTGCCGGGCAGAGCCTCATCCATTTCATTAAAAAACGCTCCCAGCTCTCAGCAAGCAACATCTAGTGTTGGCCCGCCCCATCTGCTCAAGCAAATGGGCTTTTTGTTCTTTGTTATTGTGAGTTTTTGTCTGACATTTAAGAACAGTGTAAATGTCAGAAGGCCAAAAAAACATGCTGCTTCTTCATTTTTCAAATTGACATCACCAACGCTTTTATGAAAAGTGTGTATATACATGTATATATATGATATATTTTTAACTAAAAATATTCTGAGGATCCCCACAAAAGAAAAAAGATGCTAGTTGCGACACTCTTTCTCAAGGTGGCACCATGCCACAACATGTGCTCTTAAAGGTGGGGTAGGTAAGTTTGAGAAACCGGCTCGAGATACACTTTTTGTTATATTCCATGGAATGCTCTTAACATCCCGATAGCAATGAATATCTGAAGTGCTTTCACCAGTCTGCTGACGTCATGTGCGCGTTCGTGTGTGTTGGAGGAGGTGCTCTGTAAGGAAGTCTGAAGGAAGGGGCGGATTCTTTTCGGCTGTGTACTTTCACATTTTAGTGCACTCGAGCCGGTTTCTGAAACGTACCTACCCCACCTTTAACTCATTGGAAATGTTTGAAAAAGACGCTTTGACAAAAAAGATGACGCTAAGTTCACACAGGTCCCTAATGGAATGCAAGCAGTCTCTGCCTGCTTTAATGTCTCAGGGTTCACAGAGTCGAAGCCCTGAACACATAGGAAACCATCAAGTAGATCTCAATGGTTTCCTTATAGATGTAAATGAGGCGCAAAGTAATTTATGATCCAGTCGACATCACTTAAACTGGGAGAGCTTTGTGAAGTGTGTGTATGTGCGTGTCTTTGCATGACGTGCCGGGAATCTGAACCTGGTGCACTGAAGTGCCTGTGCTTTGAAGAGCTGCTGTGTTGATTTGGGAGGCTCTGTCCCTGCTTGTAACTTGGATGAAGACTGCATGGCATCATGCGGATTAGAATTAAAAGCCATGAACATCAGCAGAGAAACGATTCTTCAAGTCATTTGACATTATTAAAAGGCATTTTGTGTGTGTTGCTTGGATGTTTGTTTGCTCGTAGGAAACAAGCAGGTGTTCCTGTGATCCAGCACACAACCGAAAAAAAAACTGGAACAATTTCTTTGTTGCCAAAAAACTGTGCTGTGTTCAAAGACGACTCCTGAACAAAACCATGGCATTCTGATGGAGTGCAAATATTAAAAATAGCACAGTTTTAGAAAACAAAGGACCCTGGTTCAATTCAACATTGTTGCAACTCAATCTTATTCTCTCTGTGTGTTTCTGGCAGATGGCAATGGCTACCAGGATCACCTCCTCCCTGTGTGTTTGGATCTCGCCTGTCAGCGCAGTGCCATCTACATGGCCAAGTCTGGCTCAAAAGAGGTACTTAACACACACAACCACACTTACAGTTGTGCTTAAAGTCATTCCAATGGATACGCTTGGTTTTCAGCACACTCTTCTATGAACTGCTCTTTACTATTCTACTCTACCATTCCTTATAACCCCACTGTGTACTTCTCTGCTCTCTGTTCTTACCTTTGGCTCAACTCTGTTAGCCTCTGGGACACTGCTTTGTTCTCTGTTACGGCCCGTCCACACTACAGCGTCGACAGCTTCAATCTGCCCATTCACTTTGAATGGGGTGACGTCACGTTGCCGCTTTTTTTCGCCGAACTGAATTGTGGGTAGCATAGCGGTCCGTCTCCGCCGGAGACGCCGGAGTAGCCAGCGCCAGCCAATCAAATCCCGTTTCGGAAAATCTGACAGCTCAAGCCGTAGCCAATCAAACCGCGTCTAAGCTGGGAGAGATATCCCGCCGTTCATTTCTATATTTCAAAAAAAGATGTGATTGGTTGTTGGTCGCGTTGCTCGCAAAAAATCCCCAAGCTTTCAGACACGCCCAGCTCCAAGATTTTCAAGATTTTTGAAAAGCTGCAGTGTGGACGTACCGTCACTGTCTTCTGATTAGTACAACACTTCTCTGTTCCACTGTCCTCTTTTCTAATAGTTCTTATAACATGCTCAGAGGAATCCAAATATCAGTTCTTGTAGGAGAGAGGACGCTCGTATTGTACCCCTCCATCCTCAATTACCTCTTCTTTTCTGCTGCAGTTTACCCCTGCCTTTGCTACTCGATTTGACTCAACTTTTTGTTGTTGTGGGTGAACAAAGGTTGTAGACAGTGCCAACTAACTGTTGCTTTTGTATGATAATTATCTGCAAGTTGTGCCAATACTAGAAGGTGGAATTAAAGGGGCCCTATTGTTTTTTGGGGCATTTTCCCTTTCCTGTAGTGTGCTATATAGGTTTGTGTGCATGCCAATGTTACCAAAGTTCCCTCTAGGATACATTTCTCTCACACACAATCCTCCCCTGCCTGGAACGCCTCCATTGGACTTAATGTTGAAACATAATGACATCACTATTGTGCTGCTATTGGCTAGCACTCCAACACAGTGTAAGTGATAGGGTGTTTACCAGTCAGAGGGTCAGTGGTTCAATCTTGTGTTCCTGAAGTCAACATGCCAAAGTGTTCTCGGGCAAGACATCCCAGATTGATCCAGTAATATCTATGTAATTGAATGTTAGTTTCTTTTGAGGAAAAGCTTGCAGTCCTCGATGATGAAAAGAGCAAACCGTGGGATTTGTACGTGTGTTTGCCAGTTTGCTCAGCTGAGAATCACACATATATTCTGAGGTGCTACTGTCTGTAGACGCAAACAGAATGGAAACGGACCTGGAACTAAAAGGGAGTTGAGCCGAGTTAAGTCAGTGGAAAGTCTTAGAGGTTTGCAATTACTCTCATGACCAGGACCAAAGATGTCCCTTAGAGGAGATGTTGTAGTTCAAAACATATAGCTAATGCCATTTTGTTCTGGCCTTTATCTTCTTTATGTTATTAATGCCTTATTAGTTTTCTTCTCTGAAGCCAGCCTCTCCAGTGGCTCCATTGTGATGCCAGATCCGATCAGATCAGTGAGTCACTTGGTTTGCAAAGCCTTGGAAGATGGAAGTTACACATTTGCACACACAAACACATTCAATCCCATCCCATATATACGACACACAGAAGCGTGTGCACGGAACATGCTCACAAACAGTTCTTACACTCTTATTAACACACATCATCTCCTCCACCACCACCTACGTAGCATCTTGTGTGATTCCTTTCAGTCACATCCTACCAGTTGGCAAGAGCTTTTCCTTCGTCTGCCACTAGAGAACAAGCTTCCTCTTTTGATTCAATCCAAAATAGAAATATTACAGGCTTATCTGCATGTCCGCCCCCACACACACAAAAGACACGCACACACAGACACACAGCTGCGCACTCCCTGTGGACATGCTTTCTATTGTTTGCCTGTCAGCAGCAAAACAAAAATAAGATTGAAGGAAGAAGTGAAAGGAGGAGTGTTGAAGGAAGGGAGTGGGGGGGCAGAGAGAGGAGGACTTATCTGCACTGATGGATGAAGTGAACACATGTTGTGTTTCTTGTCACTTTGTGTTTGAGAGACAGTCATCACTGTCGAATAGTAAGGGATGGGTTAGGAGGAAACCAGGCTCTATCTAAGCGTCTCATGCTTTCATGGAGTGGGGATAATAATACTCCATCAAAATGTTAACCTTCTTCAACAGAAGCCTACGGAGGGCCAGAAGGAACATGTATGGGGAAACAAATCAGGAGCATAAATAGGGGGGAGGGTATATTTGGAAAATAAATGTTTTCATTATGGTCAATATCAAAGTTCTTCTACCCCCAGTGCTTTTTAAAAGGTTCTTTTCTGAAGCTAGCAACCAATCTCCTAATAATGAAATAGTGTTCTGGCGACAAGAAGTGAGGTGGAGTGACCGCAGGGTGCACTAGCTAATTCTTGTCCGAATTGTGGTCTGATGATCGATGAATTCACGAATATTACCCTACATTTCTAACATTTTGTATAACTCAGGTCTATGTTGAACAAGCAGTGCGCTTGGGACTTGAATGTGAGGAGAGGATTGGACATTGCTACCGGTCATCTTGCAAAACTAAATAACATATGGAGTAGCAAGAACCTTTTCATTCCACAAAAAAACAGAGGCACTCACTGACTCGGTCATTGCAATGTACGGATGGGAAACCTGGACATTCAACACAAATACCGAAAGGGGTGGCATGGAAAACATGTAAAACAGGAGAGACAGACACTGGCAGGGGTTCTTGAAACACTGACGAAAACTGCTAGAAAGGTACAGTGGTTAACAAGAACAAACAGGTAGCAAATACAATCATGCATGGTGCAGTTGAGGAAGATGATGTTCAGGAATGGCTGAAAGATATAAAGAGGTGGACAATCAAAGCGGTGGTGGAGTGCAAGAGGCTGGAGGAAGATCGGACTATTTGGAGACGGGTGGCGATTGTCATCAAACGGCTGTGGGGCTATGAGACTTACCTAACCTGACCCGACATTGCTTTTTTCCAAAATAGTAGCTGTGACGGGGACTGAATTCTAGAAGGTTTTGCGATATCTCATGTGTTATTTCTTTTTTTTAAACCTTTGATTTGACCTTTTCCTTTTCATGTCCCTTCCAGGGCTCTGTAGTAGCATATGCACATGCACATACACGTGCAGATGATATTTCTATCTACATCGCAGTATTGATGTGATGTGTTTATCATTATTTGTCGTATAAACACTCTTACACTACATGTAGGTGTATGTGTGTGGGTGTGTGGTTTCATTACTGTGTAGCAGCTAGTAGCAGAAGTGTCCCTTAGGGGAATCTGCCCACTGACAATAACAGAGAAGGTGGAGGCAAAAGAAGGGGGAAGAAGGGATAACATGGAGAGAAATGGAATGAGCCTGATGTATAAAAAGAGGGAAATTGGACCAAAGGCGGGAAGAAGAAGGAGGCAAACGAGTATTGGAAAAGGAAGAAAAGTAGTGTGAAAACGCTCTTTCTGTTGTCACTTAATCGCAAGTCTCCAATGTACATCCCACCAGGGGGATTGGGTGTGGGAGAAGCAGAAAAGATGAATGGAGAAACAATAGGACTAGTGATATGTATACAGGCAAAGACATGATGAGATGGCTTCGGGTGTGAATGGAGTCCCGCTGAGTAGCAACTGGTGTGTATCTATAGTTCATCTCCAAACAGCAAATCATTTTTTTTTCTTCCTGCGGTCTCAGCCCCAGCTCTGCCTCTACCTCTGCAGCAGCTCCAGGCCTTTAGTTCATCATTTTGAAAGAAACCGCATGGGGGCTTCCAACAATCTCTGCGCTTCATTCACTGTCGTTACACACACACACACACACACACACACACACACACACACACACACACACACACACACACACACACACACACACACACACACACACACACTGATCACATTTATTGTACTTTAGAGCTACTCCAACATTCTGTTAGACAATTGGATATTACTGCAGAGCATAATGTAATGGTGTGTCTGTGGGTGTTATACATATCAATGACTTTGAAACGGAAGGAAGCAAACAAAAATGGATTTAGCTGTTTTCTTTATTTGAAAGGAAAGCTCTCCTGAACATCGGAAAATATATGTGTACAATATTGTTGAAAGAAATCTCAATATCCTAAGTCTTGATGAAATGGCTTCACAAATACATAGTTACTAAACCACTGTTCAAAAATGTCAGATTTACACCGACCACCATGAACATTCTTTCACTGAATATTTCTTAGACTTTTAATCATTAATTAAAGCATCCTGAAATTCCCCCATTGGGCTTACAAAGGTTTAAACAATCTTGTCTTATCTTGATTGACGTAATCAAGAGTATTTAGTGCTTGAATTACATTACAACATGCTCAAAAGTACAACATTTCTCCAAACATAGAATTAAGTCATGAACAAGTAGTAGACAGAGCACATTTGCATACTGTGTTGATTACGTAATTTTATTTCCAGGCATTCTTTAATGTATTTCAATATCTTTCTCCCATACAGTACACACAGTTGTTTTAGTTGAAATGAACTAAACGGTTATCTTTCCATCCATCTATCATATTTTATAATATATATATTTCAGGTTCTCTTGCCTATACCTAGAAAATACAGTGAATTCAATATCTACAATAAAGAATACCTCCTACAACATTATTAAGAATAAACTAAACTTCTTATTGTTGTGTATATACTTCTGTGCACATTCCTTTGTGTAAAGTTAACACACCCCTCAGACACACAAGCACAAACGCGGGACACAAAAACCGCCCCCATGAAAATGGAACCAGCTACCTACTGCTGCACAGACGCTGTTAGGGCAGTCAGTGTGAGCCAGACAGCCTCCTCCCAGTCAGTGTAGTCCGCTGGCCAGTCAGTGGTCAAAGAGGTGACACTGACAGCAGGTAGCACTGTC